CGATATCGGTCTTGGTTCAGTTTAGTGAGTCGAGGACTTGGACAGGATGTGATACAGAGTTTTAAAAGAAAAAATATTTTTGCATGAGATTTTATCAAAGATGAAAATTGGGAGGATTCGTTAATTTTAATAAACGACTTGTATAAGAATAAAGCATATTTTTAGCAGTATGTATATTGTATACTTGTATACTTGTATACTTGTATACTTGTATAGTGTATACCTACGTCCTACATCTTTCTTGTTTCACAGTGGAGTTTTAATGTAATTTTGAAGTCAAAGAAATTGAGCGATCGAGCTTTAAATTGTTTTTCAAAGATATTATAACGAATTATGCGTAGGAATCGATTTTGAGTGAATTGCTTTGATCCATTTCATATTAAAGTTGGTAATTATTGCAACAAACTGTGACTTAGAAATTGGTGATTCCAGTTTCTGAACAACAAATAAAGCTAATGTATTAGCTTTATTTGTTGTTCAGAAACTGGAATCACCAATTTCTAAGTTTTTTACTGTATACAGTAAAATCTCGATTTAGCTGTAAGGTGATTAACTATAATAATATGTAGTAATTAACTATAGTAGTAGGCTACAATTAAGGAGGTAATTAAACCATTCGGTGATGAATTGAAAGTAATAAACAGTATAATGCAAATAAAACAAAATGCAGCTAAATAGTAAATACAGAAGCAACCTTTATATTAAGTGCGGTGGGTGCGGAATCGCACTTTTTACCAATTTTCTAAATTGTCCCATTATCTTAAACAATAATCTCAGAATGTGTGTCTGTCTGTGTGTCTGTGTGTCTGTGTGTCTGTCCGCGTGTAATTTCCGAGCGGCTTAATCAAGAAAACGGTAACAGTTACGGGGCTGGTTTTTTCGGTATAGTGCCGACAAAACTCTGACGAAGCCAAATGGTAAAGGGTTTTTAAATCGCTCGGTAGTAAGTGGTTTAATTGATGGTTTTGTACCACAAATGTTACATAAAATGGCTCACATTTTCTCCCTCCTCATTCTCTCTCCCATTACTGCATATTATGTAGCGTTGGTACATATATCATAATTACACTGTCATGTAATACTATAAGCTTATTAGGGAGGGAGCGCTCATTGCGGTCTGTTTGGACTGAAGAGAGAGTTCATCCTTTCATACGACAATGTAATGCATGTTTTCAAATATAATAGGCGGGTGTGGTGCGGAGTTAATAAAGGTTAATTTCTAAAACGATTTAAAGCGGTTCAAGACGGGGGTGATGAGGTGTAATAGTCGTGGTACAGGGTGTACGAACCTTATGATCATGGAATGTGGTGCATAATAATGACTTAATTATCCACGAGAAAGAACTGATTATGCGATTATGTTAAATACAATTGGACACGTGAGGCCGTGTGAGGGCACTATGAATAGAATTGCTCACCTAATGCGGGTTTTGACTCAGTGGTTAAATACTCCTACCCTTTTTAAGTGCGGCAGTGAAATCCCGGCCGAAGACCGGGTTACACTAGTATTAACTATTATATATTAGTGCAATAATGGATTTGCAATTATTTCTTTTGAACTGATTGACGACGTTTCTGCTTTCTCCTTGTCCATTGATATATTATTAGAAAATGATCGACTTCCTCTTATGTACAGATATTAGTTGTTTCATGCTGTACATTTTGATTTCCGTGTTGATTTCCGTGATTCATTTTAAGACGTTGAAAGCGATACTGCAGGACATCATAAACAGTAAACACACTGTATTAATGCTTTTCATGCAAACAAGTGAAAACTAATCTTTCATGTCATGTATCCTGGGTTTGGACAGGATATGCCCGCTTAAAATACTCAATAAATGTAATAGATTTGTAGTGTTGTAATTAGTTTTTATGCTTGATCTTAGTTCTCTAGTTGCAGTTTCACATCTTCCTAGATTAAACTTCTCGCCTGACCATCCCAGCACAGCTGCCACAACATCGCTTCATCATAACGTCCCACTATTCACACGGTCCACGATAGAAAGTGTCAATTTAGGCCGAAAGGTAGAGACCGTGCACCGTGCAGTAAAGATCACGTGTCTAGTGTCTACCTGACTCAACCAATCAGAGTGTCGGATGGGATGGCCACCTTTCGCTGCGGTGATTAGTGACCAAATCGAGATGCTCGGTAAAGACTGTAAATTTAACTTATTGTCAGAGCTCAAAGTTGTTTTGTTCAACTTCAATGTGAATATTTAACAAGCTTGTATAATGTATTTCTCTAACTTTGATGGATTTACGAGCTATTAAAAACAAATAAATTAGAGGATGTTTGCAACATATTAGTATTCGCACTTTTAATTTAACTTACAATTTCTCTTAAAATGATTGACAACGTTTCTGCTTTTTTTTGGAATGGCCGATCCTGTCCATTGTATCTCCCTTGCATTGACACAAAACCTTATCAGAGAATCTATCTAACCTCCACTACCTTAGAATCCTATTTCCAGGATGTTGAAAATAGTAATAACATTCCTGCTCCTAACCCTCGCCACAGAAGCTTGTGTAGATCACGCCGCTGACGGATATTGTAAAAAGGGCAAAGCTAACAACCAGTGTGGAGACCCTGAATTTGCTAAGAACTGTGAGCTAACATGTAGCAACTGTTGTGATATTAGCGAGTGGGAGCAGTGTTATGAGGCAAAGGCGAGGGGGGAGTGCTACAACAAACTCTTCAATAGGTGTGATAAAATGTGCGGCCACTGCACAAACTGAACTGAGAAACGTTAGTATTGGAGATTCCGGTCTTGGTTCTGAATAGTGTGTCGTGGAGTTGGATAGTCTGAGATTAAACAGGGTTTTAAAAATTAGACAGTTTTGCGTGATTACTGAGACTTTGTTTAAAGATACCACACCCAGACTAGTTAACTTACTTTGACTTTCAAAGTAGAATATTTAAAAGAGTTTTTGTACATAACTTTCATTTTCGACGTAAAAACTAAAAAGTGAGTTTTAATGAGATTTTTGATGCAAAGATATTGAGCATGTACATTGAAAGTAATAGAAGTGACCAAAAAATCACTGACTCCACTTTCTGTTAGTGGAAGTAATTATTAAGTATTCAATGACGAATTGTTTAAGTTGTACAACTAATTTTGGGAATACAATCAAATAACTGAAACCCATGCAATTAACAATATCAGTGCGGTACAATTATAGTAGTAGGATACAATAGAGAACAATAGAGCACTAAATTAAACTATTTAATGATATATTTACTCCATCACAGGATAATGTGAACATTCAATACAAAACGTAGGTCCAATGGTCGAGTATTTGCACTGTTTTCGTCCTGTAATTTCTCTTGAACTGATTGACAACATTTTTTTGCTCATTAATATGATAAATTTAATATGATAAATTACTCACACAAGCTTGATAACACTGTTTTCTTCACTTTCTTCAGATTAATATTCAACTCTAATGAGTTATCGAACTTTTACTACTACAGCAATACTAATATTATGTACGATTTAAATTCTGTAGCGAGTTCTCGAGTTTAAATAACTTTTTTAAGAGGTCACCCACCACGAACATGAAAGTCAATTTAGGCTGTGAATCAGAGACTGTGTCAAAACATTTACTGCACATTGTCGTGATGGACACCATTCGCTGCGGTCATTAGCGATCAAATATAAATTTTCAGTAAAGACTGCCAGACTATCCCGATAGCGCTAACTTATCGTCAGAGATCAAGCCTCAAATCCGTTTTGTTCAATATAAGCATTTTTGAAGCACATTTTTTGAACTTCATCGAGTATTCCCTTGTATACTTAGTACTTACATAATATTGATTATTGTGCATTAATTCCTTCAATATGGCCGTTTTTATCTAGATATATTTCAATATACTGTATTGCATAAATCGGCACAACAACAGTAACGTGCAGTCTTGAACTCAATGATATGGTGAAATATTCAAATATTTCAAAGATTTTTTGGTATTTGACATTCAGTTTCTTAGGAAGTTGTCACTAAGCTACATTTCCCTAAGAGTCCAGTGAGATTTTCCTAGTTAAGCTCGAACAATTTCATGCCTTTTAAAGGTCAACGATGTTCTTAAACGGTACCCAATATATTATATATAATAGCAATATAATCACACTGGCACGTGATCAGTCTACAAGTGAAACTCTCCAAGAGATTAAATCATTCAAATTGAACTGCCAGTCCCAATAAACTGACTGCAATAATTGAAAGAACTAGCTAATTACACAAAAACCATTGTCCACATTCCATTAAACTCTAAACATTCCACAGAATGGTACCCAGAAGAGTGCTGCTAACCCTCACCACCCTGCTACTCTTCTGGAGGAGGACAGGGTGTATGGAAGAGCTTGGTCACCACGAGGAACACCAAAAGTGCATCAACCTTCACCCAGATGAAGAATGTGAAGAAGGGCGGAAACAAGGCAAGTGTACTACAATCGGCCCTTTTGCGGCAAACTGTGAGAAGACTTGTGCGGATTGCTGTGATGATGATCCTAGTATGAAATGTGAGATGGGGAAGGCGAGGGGAGAGTGCAATGACAGACTCAATCCTATAGGGGAGCGCTGTCGGAAGACTTGCAGACATTGTATTAACTACTGAGTACTGAGGATTGATTTGGAGCAAAGAACCCAGGGGTCTATCTTTTAAAGTTTCAAGTTTTTGCTGCTTTGCATTAAAGTTGGACTTATAATGAATTTTACACTTTAAAAATTAATGAGATCAATTTTAGCAGATTTAGTTGAACACGTTTTTAGGTTTTTGTCAATATACTTATTTCTTGGTTTTATTCGAACATTTTTCATTAAAACTAGTAGGCCCCTCCCGTATGACCTTGCTTATTGTGCGACCTAGAATAGCATTGTCTTTTTTTTCATTTTCGATTTTACTCTTTCGGATTTTTCTAGAGAAATGCTCAGCATCGCGATCGGCTCGGTCCTTCAATACAAAACAAGTTAATTTTCTAAAAACATTGTAAGTTGTATCCCACCTTTTCTATGTCGAAATTACGAGCTCGGAGGAATCTGAGGAGAACTCTCTCATCTGGAATCTGAAATAATGGAGTTTAAGAGAAACAGTTTAGTTAAAGAGCTTGAAGGGTTTAAGGGTCATCACGATACATGAAATATTGCGGCGTAAATTTGAACAATATCGGGTACGGCCAGACCCTGACATCAACATCTAATGGCAGTTTTGATAAAATATCCAAGGTCTGTCTAAATGCCTAGAAAAGGATAGCTATCTGTTTCTGGTATGTGATATTTTAAAGATAGTTAAAGTGTTAATTTCTGGCAAGCCGGCTTACAACTTCGTATGGCTTCGCAGCTGTTATTATATCAGTATTTTCCAGCAACACAATTTAAAAGTTTGGGGGGGGGGGGGGGGGGGGGCGGGGGTCTTACATTCTTTCTTTAGGAATACAAGGAGTACCATGATGATTGAACATAATATTCTTTTCGTCACAATGTTAAAGCCAGAGAATTATATTTTTTAAATAAAACTCATATGAAATTTGGAAAATTTAAAGTTTAACATCATTGTTGGGTAGGATCCAGTTTACGAGCATCCCAGGAGTGGGAACAATCTGTAGTAGTTTACTAATCACTGTACACTAAAGTAGCTAAAGAACTTAACAAGATTGTATGTACAATGTCTATATTATAATCAACTGTACATTGAACAAAGTGCTTGTGTTTGTAACAGTCTGCATATTTAAAGTACAAAGCTAGACAATACTGCCGTGCACGTGACATGTATGCACGTGTGCACGTGGTACACACGTGACATGTAGCTCCGAAGTACTTATCATTGAGCTGGTGGAATGTAGTGTCCTGGCATGTGTGTACACGTTTACTAGGACTAGTTAAGACTTAAAGAGACACAGAATTGTGGGGCTTGGTTAGTGTGTTGGAAGTGGGATACTGGGATGTATCAAGATAACGGATTAGAGCTCGATATAAGGATATAGACTATATTATCGTAATTATTAAAACTTGCTTTATTTTCTCGAGAGTTCGCAACAATTGAGCCATATTATCTTGAGTAGAAAGCAACTTTGTCTATAAATTACAAGGAAAAGAACAAACCTTGTCGAACGTTTGTTTCATCCTTTTAGCAAGTTGTATGATAGAACACTCCTCCATTGGGTTCAGCTCTCCCAAGTGGGTCGTTATGTAATCACTATCCAACTTGTAGTCATCTGATGAAATTAGGAGTGGTCAACAAATAAATAAATAATTTATAGTACACGTATTTATAGCACGCTTCATAGATTGTGTAAGATAGCACGACCTCAGAATTTAACCTAAAGGGTCACGAAAAAATACCTGAGAGATACGGAAAACACCCAATCTGTCGTTCAAAACATCATGCAGCCTTACACACATATATTATATAAGTATAATATTACAAATATAATCTATTAACCCTGTCATGCGTATCTACATTCCCATTTTGTTAGTACATAAAATGTACATAAAATGTTCATGTAATAAATTTTGTGAGCTATTTGTCTTATTTTGATCTAAGGCAAGGTCATATACCAGAAAGAGCGGGTTCTACGATTTTTCTCTTGTTCAAAATGAAACCGTTTGGAAATTAGTCTTAACTTTTATAGAACTCAATCTATGTTCAAATTAAGAGTACAAAATGGAAAGTTTTCAGGTGTCATAGTCAAGTTTTGATATTTTAAAAGTATTTCGTGTGACAAAGTGCAACGCCTTGCGCAGTCGGAATTTTAAATTTCATGCACTTGTGCTGGATATAATCAAGAATATGAACAAGGAAACGAATTTAAAATAAAAAGACCCAAAACTAACGATTTTAGTGCTCTGAGTAATTTAGTACTCAAGATTAAATGTTGCAATTTTCCGGCCGTAATTCAGGTTGATCCTCCAATAGGTTCTCCAGGGAGATTAAATACATTGTGCATGAAGATGACGATCAGACCTCATTACATTGTGCATAAAATGAGACTGCCCGTACAATTAGAGACAACAAGAGCATGCAAATATAAATAGAATTCAAGTCTTCTGATGGTGGTATTATAACTAGTTCTATAACTACCATTTCTGAAGAAAGTGTACGGATATATAAGATTTTTGTCATGTTTAATGTAGATTTTAATCGTCATTAATCATAAGGTCACACTTTACATATTTCTTATCATTCTTACTTACTGGTACTTACTCCTAGGCAGTAAGGCAAATCTAGGAATTCAGCTCCTGAGTTAAATGTTTGTCATACAATCCCCCGTATTTAATCTATTTATAGACTAATATCAGGTGATTGTGGTCTGTGGAGTGATTATCCCATATAAAAACCAGGCTAGGCTCCGTCCTAACGACAGTATCGAATGAACCTGAGCTGATGGCTGTCCCATCAGCTAAAATTAGCATGATAGGAACTTGATGTTCTTATCACATTTACCTCAATCGAATTTAATTAAGTCGTGTAAAATCTCATCACGAATGAGTAAATTGTGATTGTAAATAAATTTTATAAAACTTCTTGCAGAATGTTACAAATATGATTTAATTGATCACAACGACACAACACTGAGGATCATAAGTCGAACTGTTATTCGAACTATTCAAAGTATGTAATTTAGAATGATACAACAATTTATAAACTGCACTCGGAAATCAAACGATCTCACTTAAAATGGGCCGACATGAAATGTAATATCTCACATAAAATCACGTGACTAGAAACTTACTGGTCAGATCGTCCATTCTAGTGTCGTCATCAGCACTGGCAAACGAGTCGTCGGAATCTGAAATAAAACGTGTTTCATAGTAATGCATTTTGTGGAGATGGGAATAACGATAAAATTAGATGAGTCAAAATCTTGAGCCTAGCCAAACCTAGAAATACTACACAAACTCACTCCGGCATTATCAGGGAATAAACATCACTCAACCTAGACTGGTTCTTTTGCGATAGTCAAAACGCGACAACTAGCGCTGGATGGCGACAACTAGCGCTATCCAGCGCTAGTTGTCGCCATCCAGCGCTAGTTGTCGCTATCCAGCGCTGGATAACGCTGGCCAGCGCAAAATATATATGTTCGATAATTGTCGCTATCCAGCGCTAGTTGTCGCCATCCAGCGCTAGTTGTCGCCATCCAGCGCTAGTTGTCGCTATCCAGCGCTAGTTGACGCTGGCTATGCGACACTGTCGCACGCGATAGTTTGCGATGGCCAGCGCAACTGGCCATCGCAGAAAACAGTTCGATAACTAGCGCTGGATAGCGACAACTAGCGCTGGATAGCGACAACTAGCGCTGGCCAGCGCTAAGCGATAGCCAGCGCTGGCCATCGATATCCAGCGCAAAATTTGTGCGCTATTACTCGTCAGCTAGCGCTGGCCAGCGCTAGCCAGCGCTAACCAGCGCTAGCCAGCGCTAACCAGCGCTAACCAGCGCTAACCAGCGCTAGCCAGCGCTAACCAGCGCTAGCCAGCGCTAACCAGCGCTAACCAGCGCTAACCAGCGCTAGCCAGCGCTAGCTGACGAATAATATCGCATTTATATTGCGCTCATGGCCAGCGCTGGCTGACAAGTAATACTAATATCGAGCGTGCTAAATCACTCTACAGTCGATCTTCGAGATTGTTCTAAAAGGGCCCCCGATGGTTGTAACCAACTTCAATCAATGCAATGTATTTTCGGACGCTAATTCCGAATCAACCCCCATGACATAGGGTTAAAATGCTCTCCTGACGAGATATTGGCGAAAAACTGTATCGATCACGTGATATGACCGTATAAGGAAGTTAGTCTAATTTCTCGTTAGGGTTAGGGTTTCAGCATATTATGTTTTTGTTAAGGATTGGGTTAGGGTTAGGGTTGGGATCAGATTAGAGGGTTAGGGTTTAGAAAAGTCGTTCAGAACCAGCTAGAGTCAGAGAATGGGTTAAAAAAGTCACGTGACAGTCGAGTGTAAAGTGATTATCATTAATCATCATCCGAGTAATATCGCAAGTATATGATTTTGATACATTGCGCTGGCTAGCGCTGGTTAGCGCTGGCTAGCGCTGGTTAGCGCTGGCCAGCGCTGGTTAGCGCTGGTTAGCGCTGGCTAGCGCTGGCCAGCGCTAGCTGACGAGTAATAGCGCAAAAATTTTGCGCTGGATATCGATGGCCAGCGCTGGCCAGCGCTGGCCAGCGCTAGTTGTCGCTATCCAGCGCTAGTTGTCGCTATCCAGCGCTAGTTATCGAACTGTTTTCTGCGATGGCCAGTTGCGCTGGCCATCGCAAACTATCGCGTGCGACAGTGTCGCATAGCCAGCGACAACTAGCGCTGGATAGCGACAACTAGCGCTGGATGGCGACAACTAGCGCTGGATGGCGACAACTAGCGCTGGATAGTGACAATTAGTTGTCGCCATCCAGCGCTAGTTGTCGCGTTTTGACTATCGCAAAAGAACCCCTAGACTTGATTAAATTCACACTCAGGAATGTCCATTTATTGAATTCTACAAACAAGCAATTGTGAATGCCCTATACTTCAGATAGACATTTTGTAGGGAGTATACAAACTGGTACTTAGATTTCATAGTTGGACACTTTTGGGGATAAACATGGTTAGATAATCACTGAACCGCACCCACGGATTAGACTTTTGTTTCGCTTATTGGATTAGACTTTTCTTTTGCTAATTCCTATATATAGTCACTTGAGTCCAAATTAAAACAATCATCCGACGGGCGACGACCAATTGTTGGCATAGATCTGGGTGAATTGTATTCTCTTCCCTGATTGTATACAAAATCCAGCATCCCATTATACGTCTTATAATATCTTATCATTCTTAATTCTTAACACACACACTAAGGTTATGTGCTATTGTGCGAGATAATTAGAAATATAAAAGCTGGGAAATTGCTTTTATCATTTCAACAAAGCCAAGTTTAATTCCATGAGAAAACATTTATAAGCATTGAGGTCAGATTTACGTAATTCATTTGACTGGACTGGTTCATGTCACCGATATTCGTTGGTTCATTTACGGTTTACCTTAGGACAGTCGTAAAGTTGGATCAGAACGAACAACACATTCTATCTAGCAGTATAATAGCACTAGGAGAGAAACACTCAAGAGGGATGTTACAGACTTACAACTATCTCGTCACACGATACACTCAGTGCGGCAGATAACATCGGACTTAGGAGAAAATGTCTCTGTTTACTACCAGGATGTGGTTTTTTTGTCCTATTTAAAGATAATCATTAATTTAGACATAACATCAACAAACATTTTTGGCGTGATGACAGCTCAGTGACCACACATTAATTAAGACTTAAAGACTAGCTTGTTAATAATCACATGCTGCTTACCAGTCACATACTGAGAGTATGTGACTTCTTTAAACAAGCTCACAATTACCGTGTTCAAAATAACAAGTGAATCTATTTTTAGAATGTACAGTGAGATACATTCTATTAGACTCAATATTCTAACACCACTTTTAAAACGTTTAAATGCATTCTTGTTAATGGGCCCAATTGGTAAGCTTGCTACAGAAATAAATAGACAATAAAATAGAATAACAGCAACTCTTGCACCTACTATCTACTAACTACTCACTACTCACAAGAGGAAAACACAGCGTGCTCATGCATCAGATACAAAGCTTTATAACAATTCATATCTCGTTTTCAGGTGGCGAGACTTAATCATTAATTTTGGAAGATGCTATTACAGGAAACCTTTCCTACTTCACGTTGCATCCCTACTGAAAGCCTCCTTTATATTTTCTTCAGCCTAGCTTCATTTTGTTTATGGCGGCACCACCTCCCCTGCTCAATCTACCCCCTCCCCTTTTCTCGAGCTGCCTCTTATCCCGTTCACATACAAGTTAACAGTCCATGTAATAACAGGCTACTTTCCGTGAATACGTGATGTGAATAGTTAATAGGAAGACTAATGAGTTAATTGGTGTAATTAGGATATCTAGTGTATACTAAGTAAGTTAATTGCCCTAATTAATTAAAAATCAGTCACGATGACCTCAAACAAGTAAATAGTTCATCAACAAAGTGACATACCTGAATCTGAGTCTATGTTGTCAGGTTGGGACCAGCGGGGTGCGGTGACCACTCCCTCAGATTCTAACTCGTTTACATAGTATATTATTATCTCTTTCCCCTGAAAATATCAACATTACAGCTCTCATGAGGCTCAATTATATTATTATTAACGCGCCACGCGACGTGCCGCGACGTGACGTGCCGTGGCGCCACGCGACGTGCCGTGACGCCACGCGCCGTGACGTGCCGTACCGTGGCGCGATGTGCCGTGCCGTGACGTGACGTGACGTGCCGTGCCGCGACGTGGCGTGCCGTGCCGCGACGTGGCGGGTTAATGTGATCATAGCTTGTAGAACCTGGATCAGAGATAGCGGTACTAGTTTATTATACACTACCATTTACTCATCGTCTAACAATCCACTGCAGGGGTTTAAACACCTTCTTAGCCTCACAGAATGTCATAAAACCTCATTTTATGTTTGTACACTACTTAAATAACCCAAGTCTCACCCAAAACGTGATAAACAGCTACTACATGTCAAATCTTAGTTGGAAGTTTGTTACTTCACCCTAGTTGCTACACAAATCACAATGAGGCCCAGGTCCCTACAATGAGCACATGTATTAGACTTGTACTTGTTATTAAAGAGCCCCGTATAAATTATAATGCAGGCAACACAGTCACGTGACAGTCACGTGATGGAAACACTGCAGTGTTTCCATGTGGTGTGAGAGGGACTGAACCGCTCTGATTTTCAACATTTCAACATAAGACATTAGGTGGACATACTCCCCCCGTACACAATGATTATACACCCGCATATAAGACAAAGGGAACGGTTCACTAGCTCTGCACTGAGTAGGTACTAACAGGGCTGTACACTGTGCGAAGATGGTAACCAGTAAAGTTCTAGGATTAAAACTGGCAATAGATTTAGTAATTAAGTAATTAAGTAATGGTTCACTCTAACAAATATCCTGCTGAATCCGAATAGAATATTTTATACACATAAATATGATATGGAAAGTCTAGCATTATTTTTCCTTTGTACGGGATCGTTAACATATTACTCAAGTCAAATTTTGACCTTTTCAGACTCCCTTCCTCCTCCATTATAGGCTACCTAACAAATGATAGCCATTATGTAGAAATAAAACAAGCGTAACCTTTACCAAACTCCGGACCCTCCTCCTAAGCTGGACTATGTAATAGGTGAACGATCCCTAACGTGGTTTTGCCAAGAACTGGATAAAATTTGCTATAAGAACTAACAACTGATATATATTCTGCATCTGTTTATGTACAACAAATTTTGCAGTACATAAACACTCTGCACTTGCACTTGTCCCATAAAAAATGTACAACATCGGAAACTCTGTCAAGAAATGCTGACTGGAACTAAGGGGATTGATCTTCAACAGGGTACGGTCTATGGAAGTTAATTGTTGACAACTGCTGGCATTTCAGGAATTTATCAGATCACGGTTTGTCCTATCTCTGGTGGGTAGCATATTTTGAGCACATTTGTGTAAGACTGCTGCCCCTTAATTTCTCATGCCTCCTCTAATCTGACCCTCACAGCAATTATTGAAGATGAAACAATAGGAGTTGCCGTAAATCTGTAGATTGTTATTGTTGAGTCATGGTCCACAGAGTATCGATTGAGCTTCCAAACAAAGCTAAGGGGGAAAATAACACTATCCCACTTCGAAGCTTTTTCAGCTTGTGTTGGTTCGTTTTGTTGAGAGTGTTGTTGAGGGCACTCTGCTTTGATGAACTAATCTAGCGAGGAACTCCAGAGTTTCTAAGTTAATCAAATGAAATCCAATTATTTGTCACTGATTGGGTGACGTAATCTCTGTGAGAACTAAGTTAGCTGGGTTCTTAACGCTAATATCAGGTACGGGACCCCGGACCATGTCCTGTCCTTGCCAAATCTAGCGAAATATCGACTTCTCGTTTTCCTCTTCTTTGATTGATATCTAGCTGTTTTCAGTACGAAAGCCCAAAACTTAGACCGGTCAGTTGCAGTTCCTCATTTCATATTCCTGAGTTATACAGCCTAATGCTGGCAATTACACAAACTTTGTGTGGCCTACTAGCCCAGGCTCCAGCAGGGCCGGGCTCCAGCAGGGCCCCACACTGACATGTCAGTTACATAGACCACAGCTACATGGATTTAGGTCTACGACCTGGTTATTACCCTGTTGTTAGGATAATATGCTCATACTATGCACAATGGGAGGTGTTAAGTTAGTTTATTGGACTTAGTTAAAGTGTTAACTAAGGTGTTAGCTAACCTTAGTTAACACCTTCCACCTCTAGCTGGAGTACTGAAACTACATTTAACAGCAACATGAGTATAATCTGTGCCAGCTATAATACTGCTCACTAGGTATTGGTCACTAGGTATTGGGTACTGGATAGTTAGACTTCCCATACTATTAAGATTGGGTAGACTGTACATTGTAGAATGTAGACTCATTAGTGAGTCAACTTTTCAATCGTATAATGAGTAGATTTAACTGGATAAATGGTTGATGAAGCTGTGTGCAACCACCCCTACAGTCTACACATACTAGCTATTATGTAGTGGAATTGTATGATTCATTGAATATCCCTGTTGCATAATATAGTGATATATAACATACTGAGCCATTATGTTGTGTCAGGTATTGTGGGGGTCACTCGGAGTGCCTGATATTACTTCGAAATTGGGAGAGTAAACAATTACCTACTTCGTGGACATATCATATAATAATGTTAAATATTATATAATAATGTTAGATATGGTTATAATAATTGGGCTTTTAACAACATGTCTGTTGTCCTAGTTAGTAGTTATGCAACCTTACATACGATTCTCAGAAATGAAATGTTGGCACAATATCATGATTGTGGATCAATGGATCTTGGGTTAACGGGGGAGTGCATTTAACCCTACTTTAGTAGCAGTCAGTAAGAACTGGAAGTCCTGCGTACTCGAAGATGCTGCTAAGTTTACAGGTGTTGAAAACATCGACAACAACACGACAGAAGCTTTGGCTACCAACCGAGTACAGTGGAGACATATGTTACGCCGCCAACGCGATGTGTGTGATGCAGGCCACTCCAACGACTAGGAGGAGACCTTACCATGTAACATGTATGTTAGTAGCAGTCTTTGTGCGTCACAAACTATATGATATTAGTCCAGCCTAACCGTACACGTATATAATCTAAGTTAGCAGCCGTTTATACCATGTCCAGGAGATGATTGTAAACGCAAAATGACGCATTAACTATGGATAACGATGTAATCACTTAATAACAATGTAATCACTTAATTACGATGTAATCACTTAATTGCTCACTGTGGATGCACTGTGTGTAGGGTTTAATGGGGGTACAACTCATACATAAATCATAATAAGATACTTAAAAGTTACATTCGACTCACATTGGACGGGCACAAACATAACTTTTGTAATCGTTTTTATAGCATTCTCATAGAAGTAAGCTGTAGTGCATAAATTTATCAAGTCTGCTTCAGCAGAGTGCAGACTGCTGTGATGGGAGTGAATGAGGAAGTTACGTAACATAAAGCTAGTAAGTAAGTGCAGGCTCATTAGAAGTAAGTCTAAAATAAATATTGTTATATTTATTGTATACAGTGCTTATTTAATTAGTTTACTCGAAGTTATTAATATGTCTATTGTCTAATCATACTGCTCAGTTAATACTTAATTAATCAATGTATATTATTCATCATAATATTACAAAAATGTAACAAACCTTCTTGATATTCTTGTGATAGGCCTTGATGCCAAGTTTCTCAACCTGAGCCTCGATCCCAAAGAAGCTGATAATGTTCAGAGTAGCTCGCTGGGTGAAAATAGTCCATTCTTCATTATCAGGGTGTGGCTGAAAAGTAGACTGTGTTAGATCAAAAGTAGTGTTGCACACTTCTAGTAACACAAGTCTAGTTAGCTTTTGTTAGTCACTCTTATCCGAACGTTGAGCTGTTACACTCTACTGTACACTGTACACAATACACTAACATTGCACTTTTAGCTGTTCACTGCATCATTACAGGATATTTGTGATTAACAAGATATCTGCTGTTACTCAACAGTAGACATCTACTTAAATTACCAAATATTAGAAAGTTAGAGCCTTAGTCATATCATATTATGACGATTGTGCAAAACATAAAAGATTCAGCAAACTATCCAGGATGATATAGTAATATGTTAATGTTACAATCTATACAGCTGCAATAGCACATACAACTATTTGCTTGCCAATATATTTTAATTTCCTTAACACTAACAGCATCTATCTTGTACGGTACGTGATTCCGGTAAAAGAGCAGCTCAGAATTTGCATCATTTGACACAACTGTTACCATGACACATACATATATGGATTTAGTGGGTGGTATAAATGTCTACAGTTACAAATAATAAATAATTCTATGGTGCTCTGCTAAGAGGCGATATGTTCTCTATAAATAGTCTGTAAATAGTCTGTAAATAGTCTGCAGAGCATGTAATATTAATATATAATCATATATCAGTTAACCAGCTACCGGCTCTTTAAGCTGATAGTGGTAACGGTTAAGCTGTAATGAAACCACAGTTATATAATAACTTTATAAAGGTGTGCGTTGTGTGCTGCAGACTAATGCTATGAGATTGTTAGCAACATATATCTTATATACACAGCTTGAATATTAGCAGAATTAACCAAACACATATCCAATGATATTTATCTAACGGTTAGTTTATGAGCTTATCATTATCTGCATTATTATTACCATATTACATTTCTACGTCATGACCAGCAACAGATTTGTGATGGAGCGTGCTGTGCAAGCGTGAGATAGAAACCAAACCTTATATGCGCACTCCTCCTTGATCTTCACTCGACTGCTGAAAGTCTCGTTGGTTGCAACAATGTTCAGAGTTCGGTTCCTCAGGTTGAGCGAGTTCTTTTGAATGAAGAACACGTGGTCGGCTCCACATACCTAACAGTTTACATATGATTAGAACAGGAATTATCACCACTGTCAGATAGTACATGAATTCGCCAATGTTAACATGTAACACTGTGCAGTTTTCTATATTCATTTTTTAAATTTTCAAACTTTGCCTTAAGCTTACCTTTTTAAGAAGATAAGGTGCTTCAACATCAATCTTACATCTCCTCTCAATAACATGAACTGCTCCATCTTTACTCTTGTACTCATGGATGGTCTCACTGCCAAGAAAGGCGGGAATCATTGAGCATGTTGGAAATCGTCGCTCGTATGCCTGAAAATGGTTAAATTAAATTAAGATATTGTTATTAATTAAACAATTAAAACTGATGTAATAATCTTGGAGGGGGATTTGTTTTAAAACACTTAAGAGATACGAAAAGTTTGTTTTAGCAGGAGCTTTCAAAATACATGTGTAAATCGTCTTCAGCTGATGTAATCTATATTATAATTCAAAGAATTATTCTGTATAATAATAATGTTCGACCGCCCACGTGCAAATAAGGTTAACAAATAGAAGTTGCATAGTAACCATAGTAACGGTGTTGAACGTGCAAGTGCAAAGATTGGCGAGCGAAATTTTGATCGGTTTTGTGGTAATTACATTGTGTTCAGTGCAAGGTACATTTAAATCAGCTGTATCTTCGGTTGTGACGGATATTTGTTGATGCTATAAAAACTGACTACCATTGGTAATAAAGAATACCATTATTTTTCTCCCTGTGACCACAGGATTTCTAGTAATATATAATTTGAATAGATTATTAATGCTAATCATATTTTACACTCATTCGTTGATTAATTCATGCCACTTGCACTTCTTCCAAAAACATATTATCTGCCAGTCAAGAAGCAGTTCAAAAGTCCTTTACCAGCAGGGTATCAGTCTGCCAAAATAGGACTACTGAGAGAGACTAAAACACCTCAACCTTCTGTCCTTCCAACAAAGACAAGACAGATATGTCATTATAAAATCAATGGAAAAATATATAATATACACTGCAGCAACTCCTTGTAGACTGGAACCCTAGTGATGGTCCTGACCTTCTGGCTGAACATCATCAAAATATCAAAGTAACTTGCAAGTTGTAAATTACCTGCATTCCAAGTCATTCAATGAAGGGAAGAAAAAAATCTTACCAGCATAATGAGCTCAAATGGGTACTTGTAGACCCTATCTGGAAGCTGGTACTCTTGAGGCATCTTGGGAAGATAAATTTAAGTTCCGGATATTCTCCTCTGATTAAAAACATAGAATCTTTCACAGTTTAATCATCCTGAGCATACCTTAAGATTATCATCAAGAACATGGAGTTATTATAGCATTTTATTTTTGAGTAAACCGTAACCATTAGTTTATAATTATTTTGTAAAAGGCATGGCTTAGGTTGCGTGTGGTGTAATTTAACAAGACATTGAAATTAGATTTTTATTTTTCTTTTAAAATTTATCAACAAGGGAGATTATGATTGTTATTATATTATTCGATTGTAAATAAAGGATAATATTATATTATCTAAAAAGTACTAAAACAATATTTAAAATATATTGGTAGATTGGTGATCTTTTGAGATTTTGTAGCTTACGATTGATTACATAATATGCAATTGTATCTTTGGAGTAGTTCGTTTAATAATTTTACCTTTTTCGTTAAGTATGTGTGATGATATGAAATCAATTGGGATATAGTTATCTATTTATTATTTTGTCACATTCACACTTGGAAAAACTACGAGATTTTGTTTTCCTTACACAGAGTGAAGATTTGCCAGTAAAATTTCTAAATAATATATGGAGCCAAACATGCAATTTTCCCAGTACATAAATAGGTTGAGTATTTCAATATTTCCCACATTAAAATAATGATTTGGCGCCCATCTTAGCCTTAGGTATGATGTGGCCCCCTCCTCAGTGGCGTAACGTTGCCTGTTGGCATACCCGCTAAAAAAGCACCCCCTGTTGGAGCGCCCTCCCCTTTTGGCGCCCCTCCCTAAATGTGAACAAATTAGATCATTTTAGAGGATACGCCAGTTAAATCACTAAGTGTTTTTCTAGAGCAAAACACGCAGTTTTGCTGGTACTGTAGTTAAGTGTTTCAAAATTGTCCAACATTCAAACAACGATGATTTGGCGCCCCTAAAAACGTTCACCTTGGCGGGGTTGGCGGGGCCCTTCGTTATGCCACTGCCCCTCCTCCGTTTCTGAACTCAGACTGTCTGTCAGAGAGGTGGACGTTCTAACAACAGTTCTCATTTAAACAAGTTTTCGACTGATTTGAATGTCCTGCACAGCAGATCGAAGCATCTCTAAATTATTTACTATTTTTATTATATAGCTGTGTAAATTTGATTCTAATTCTAATTCTAATTGTAAATGTGAACTAAGCTTTTACTTTCGTATCTAGTCTAAACGATGTCTTGAATTAGAGTAGCCGTATCATGGGCGAGATTGCAGTTGACGAGTGTGATATGGAACCGGTAAAATAAAATTCACGAGCAGGTTAAACTCTGCACTCGAATTTCATGATTTTTATAAAAGAGCTCCTATTGATTGAAACCAACTTAAATCGATGTAACTTGAATCGATGCATTTTTAATGCTGCTTCCAAATCACCCCAAAGTCTATTGCTCGTTGTCAGTTCCAAGTTAATAACAAATATTTTACAAATATCACGCGTTAATTTGCTTGCAGTTTCCTGACAAAAGCTCAAAAAGAGCATCGCGCACAATATAGATATTGGTATAGAGATTGATGTGCCATGAAATTTAAAATGTTATATTTAAGTCTAAAATTGATTCACGATGTCAATCCTTCGCAGCTCGGTGAGGCACAGTGGTGCATCTCGCCGATCTACCGAAGTGGTTGCGAGAAGCATTATTTGATGCGCGCGCGACCCAGTAGTGCATCGCGCTACAAAGTCTAAAATAATTTAATAAACACCAAGCGCTAAATCTAATATAATGATAACCACTGGTACTATGTACTAGATTTGCTCAATTGCAAACTAACATTATACTACATAATTTGCTCAGGCAGTCAGGCTGCAGTGTTATATTTTACATGTTACATTGTAAGCACATCAAAACAAATATAAAAAGGCGCGCGGCAGAATCATGGTAAATTGTAAATTGTAAAAGTTATTATTGATTGACGATGTCAATCCATCGAGATCGTTGCTCTGCGAAGCAATAATGCTAGTTTGCGCGGCGCGTCGAAGCTGCGAAGTCCTCCAAAAGTTATTATTACTAATACAAATGAGTTTAAGTTTATTCAGTTTTTGATGGTTCTATCACATATTTTTACCGATGGCAAGTGCTACGAAGGAACGCGCGCCGGGCCAGATCATTAACAATGGTCAATCACATATATCATGCAGACAATCATTATTATTGCACGCAAAACAAATTGATTCATAAAATACTTTACAACTGATCATCAGCAATGTAATAATGTCGCTAATTTTTAGTCTCGAAATTCAAGTGCTACAAAAACAAAAGTAGCGTGCCGGGTTATTAGTGTGCCGGGTTATTAGTTCATTATTATTAATAATGGACTTGGAGGACTTCGCCGCTTCGACGCGCCGCGCAAACTAGCATTCTTGCTTCGCATCCTAGCAGTGCAGTGAACTATCCTAGCAGTGCAGTGAAATATCCTAGTAGTGCAGTGAACTGTCCTAGCAGTGCGGAAGCAAAACTTTCGGTAACTTGGTTACTAGGTAACGGTAACTTGGTACTTACTTTGATATTAGACTCTGATAACTAAGTTACCTCCACTATCTTACCTGAGGACCCCAGGCTTTAATGTTGGTAAACGAATAGAGATTAGGCGGAATGACAGGCTGAGCGCGGCCCAGTAAATGTTACGTCACTATAGCATATGTCATTCAATATTAAGGCATTAACATTTTTTGTTAGGTGTTGATTGACGATGTAAACCTTTTTAGATCGTTGCTCTGCGAAGCAGAGCCAAAGAGATGTTACTCGTTTAAATTTCTTCGAAGTAGCGCTCGCCGCTTTCTTCTTGACATACGTTGCATGCCACTTCTCGAAAGATGACAAGTGCTACGAAGTAGCGCGCGCCGGGCCAGCCAGACCATTAACAATGGTCAAAACGGCTTTTACTAATTCGCCCAAAAATACACCGATTCAGATTGACGGATGTTACTTGTCTAAATTTCTTCGAAGTAGCGCGCGCCGCTTTCTTCTCGAAATGGCCATATGGCAATTGCTATGAAGTAGCGCGCGCCGGGCCAAATCATTAACAATGGTCAACGATTCAGATCAATTTCTTGTTGGTTTTTAACCTACTAGGACGCGCGCCGAGTTGGTCTCGTCGATGGAACAGATATTTTACGAGTATCACCCGTTAAATTAATTTCACGCCTAAAGGGCCTTTTCCTAACGGGTGATACTCGTAAAAAAATTGTTCCATATATTGGACCGTCGACGAGTCCAACTCAGCGCGCGTCCTGCAGTTGTAAACATACAAGCCTTTTCACAATAATTTTCTTAAAATTTGGGCGAGCGATTTAGTAGGAGTGGTTGATTCACGATGTCAGTCCTTCGCATCTCCACCCCGGCGAAAGCCGCGGGCTTCATATTGCTGCGCGTGTTAAAACAAATTTTCGACATAAATTTGTCAGGAGATCGACTGTAATTCCGTTTACGAACCTTTTAAAGATATTTGACAGTGCCGATTCTATCCCTTAAAGGATTTTCAATAGTGCCGTGGAAAAATAAAACATCAAATTCATTCATCTGAACATTAGTAAAGGTTATAATGATATCAAATCAAGATTTCAAACGCGTACAATCATTAACTCTAATCAAGTATTGTCAACTGTGATTAAAGATCAGAGCAAAGTATGCTATCCTATATGTAAGCTACAATGAGGAAGAAACAGCATTATACAACAGTATTACAAAAATAAATATAGGTATAATACCAAAATGTAACTATTACTGCTAATAAATACAGTTTAAAGATAAACTTATCAAATTTAAAACTGACACGAAACTAATACGCGGTTTATATTAGAATGCAACACAAACACTAAACACATCAAATAGAAACAAAAAAGATATCTCGCACTGTCAGTCATTACATATTACAATTATATAAATAACACCGAAGAACTCATATATCAACAGCTCGAGTAGCGCACACTACTAGTACTAATCTCGAGTGTCTGACCGTGGCAGGGGAAGCGTCCAGGGTTCGATGCCGCGACCGTGATCTTTTAAACATTTTATTTTGTGAAAGTCGTCTTTGTTTAAGAAGGTCCACTTCCAGTAGCCCATTTTCTCCCCACATAACATTTCTTCATCCTCAGCAAGACCTGTTTTATTTTCCATTACAGTAATTCCATGTTCCAATGAAATCTAACTCTTCAATTTTAATATCAGCGGTCGGATCCTGAAATATGGAAGTGAAACTCAGTAAATTTTTACAGTCAAGTAATACTATTATATAACTTCTATTCGTAAAATTTTACAAGATTTGTTTCCAGTTTCGGACAAATTCACAATATTACTACATAACAACTTAGTAATGTAAGCAGTAAGGGCCCTCTCCTAATTTTAATCTGTAGAAGTGCACGTGCAAATAACGCGCGACTTCAATGCAAAAATACGCGTGTGCTCTCGGCGCGCGCTAAAACTCTGCGCTGAAAATATTGGTTTGGTACGTACCACAACGAGAGTTTTAAAATTCCCGCCAATTCCAAACTCCAGAAAAAGAATCCGAAATTTTGGGACAGCCAAAAACGTATTTTGATTAATGCTTTTCGACTTTATTTGTCCGTAAACTGACAACTACAGTAAATCTATTTTCTGATTTCTCTACGAACTGGGCACGAGTAACTTGTTTTAAAATACAGCAAATCTATCTTCTCGGAGTGGGCACGAGTAACTTGTTTTGAAATACAGCAAATCTATATTCTCTGCGAACTGGGCACGAGTTACTTGTTTTAAAATACAGCAAATCTATCTTCTCTGCAAACTGGGCACGAGTTACTTGTTTTAAAATACAGCAAATCTATCTCCTCTGCAAACTGGGCACGAGTTACTTGTTTTAAAATACAGCAAATCTATCTTCTCTGCAAACTGTTTACTTGTTTTAAAATACAGCAAATCTATCTTCTCTGCGAACTGGGCCCGAGTTACTTGTTTTGAAATACAGCAAATCTATATTCTCTGCGAACTGGGCACGAGTTACTTGTTTTAAGATACAGCAAATCTATCTTCTCTGCAAACTGGGCACGAGTTACTTGTTTTAAAA